TCTAGAAGGAGAAGTGGAAAAGTACAGTGCGAATAAGGCGAATTGGCGAAGCGGTGCTGGCTTTCAGCTTAAGAATTCAGGAGTCGAGCACAAAGCATCATTAGTAAGTTCGTTTAACAGCTTCGATAGGGCTATTTTTTGACATTTCTGTTTATTTTTGGACTGCTTAGCGAGAAATTTTTTCAGTCGAAGGGCAGTGGTGGCGGCAATTTAGCAGGTAACGGTGCTGAGCACTCATCGGCGAAAGCACGAATGCATAATAATAATAACAGCCTGCCTGGAGGCTGGCGCTCGAATGATCCATCGTTCAAGTCAAATCATCAAAAAGAAGGCGGCGGCGGCGGCTATGTAAGTGCTTCCTTTTTTAGATTTTCTTTTTTCTTCCAACTTTACGTTGGATTTCTGCAGCGCAACAGATGGTGTAGGATTCGGAGCGTTTTTTTTTTTTTTTTGACGGAACAACTCATTTTCGCTTTATAATGCTCAGATTTATAATGCTTGGATTCATGATAATGTGCATGTGAAAATAATCGTGAGAGCGGATATTGATTGTCTGAGCAGCGCAGTAACACTCCTCATCCCCTTGCCCAATATACTGTGGCGTGCATTCACTGGTTGGAGATTAGCTCTGTATTCTTTGATTTCTGTACCTTTTTCGGGACTAAAGATTTATTATGTTGCAGGCGCATGAACAGACCTTTCATACTGCTTGTCGATTTTTTTACTTCACGGTTTTTTTTTTAGAAAAACAAAGCATCGGGAAGTGCAATGGAAGAAAAAATCCCGGAATGGCTGAACGATGGTCCAAAATCGATGCATGATATGATCGAACTGCGCGGTTTCGACGAGGACAGCTCCAAGAACACCAAATGTGAGTTAAATTTCTAGCGAAATGCTTGTATGCACCTCTGCTTACGTGCAAACACTGTCTTACTTTACCATTTAAATTAAATTATCTCTGTAGCAGCATCGATCAAGCTGACAGTTTGGCCTCGATAAAACCACTCATTTTGCATACTAGGAATATCAAGACCACCTGGACAGTCGGTGGGGAAGCTGATGTTATTAGTGTACACTGGCTGCATGCGTGCTAAGTTTTTAGGCAGAGTTGTGTGCTGTTAGTTAGTGTCCATCACTTG